GTAGTGCAATGGTAGCCTAAACTCACTAAGAACTTGCTTGACAAGCTCCACAGTCCTGATCTTACAGTAAGAGGTTCCGAGAAGAGATCCTGAGCTTGCGAGAGAACATGGAAAAATCATCAACGACTATATCCTGGGTGCACGGTGATGCTATGTTGGCCAATTCCCTAACTAAGTCATCTGACAAACACCAGGTCATGCTGTACATCCAGATGGGGTTTCGATGGAAAGTAGTCTATATTTAGAAGATGGCGAGCGCAAAGACCCGAAAGAAGCAAGGAATTCCGGCTCTTGAAGGTGATCCAGCGACAGCCCACAACAATACCACTCACCACCAGCCTCAACCTTTCCACAAGCACCTTCCGACTTGACTTTCTGTGTGTTATTCAGTGGGAAAATGCTCCAGACAATGTTCATCCTCTCTTACGAATAGAGGGGCCATGCAGATTTAACAGTAATCTGGCATGCTTCCGGAGTTTCCAGACGAGTCCCCGTCCACCCGCTATACCGCCACAGCACCTTCGCTAGCTAGCACTGGCGGAAAAAAACCCTGAACCCTGCAGGCCTCAGAGCCCTTGAGCTGCAGGAAGAACATTCAATCGTGTTGCTTTCTTTTCTTTCTTTCTTTCTCTGGTCCCGCGTGTTGTTCTGCAATTTTGCTGGACTCTGGATGCCCTGGAGGGTCTAAATACTGTATTTTGCAGCCATCCTCATATTTTTTGATCCTCTATCCTATTTTGTTGATGCCTTTCTCTTGCAAGTTCATTTGGGGCGCGCGCAGACCACACCGCGCAGTAACCCTGCTGCCCTTCGAAAACGATGCCGGCATTCAAGGCCTCAGCTTGCGACTTCTGAGGAACAGATGCTCACCGCTTCGCCCCGCTTGAATCGCCCGCAAGGCGCCCAAAGCCTCACCGCGTGCAACCGGGCTTCGTCCACAGCAGCTGTGACCGAGTCGTAGCGAGCCTCCAAGGCCAAAAAGAAGCTTCGAAATGCATGAAGCCAGAACAGATTTGAGGTTTGAAGTGGCTTCCGTTCGCCTTGTCAACCACGTCGCAGCGTCCAGCAAAATACTCCTGAAGCCAAAGCCGGAGGCACATGGCGAAGGATGGCGGCATGGCGAGGCGAAGCATGAGCTCCTCTGTCCAGGAGGGGTCCAGCTTCAGGACCTGCGAAGTGGACCACCTCAGAAAGCTTATCCTAGTAAACACTGTTAACAATTTCTTTAACAAAAGAAAGAGAGCTCAGAGAGCTGTGAGAGCTGTTTCCGCTTGCGTAGCTGCTTAGGGCACGAGCTGGTCTCCGCTATCCATGCCGATGCCCAGCCTCGAAGATAAGTCTGCAAGTCCACTCTGAAGAGTACTCTACACTCTCTAAATGCTTTAAAGACAAGTTAAGATGTGTTCTCTGCTTTAAGGGATCCAAGCCGTGCGCAAGGCAAACGCTTCGGACTCTTTCTCTTCTCGCCATAGCAGGAAGTAATCTCAGTGCAGCAAACATTGAACATGGTACGGCGGTCGAAGGATACTGGCTTTAGACTTTAGGCAGCAGCTTCGCTTGGAGTTCGAGTATACCACGCAATACCCCTCTGGCACTGCCTGGAAAGCACAGCCAATCGGCAATCAATCCGCAGCCAATGACATAATGAGGACGGTGCAATCCGAGATATTCTAAGGTGCCGACCGGCGAACCACGGTTCAAACTCTCAACGACCGAGCCCACTGATGTATACCTGCTTTTTCTAAAAGGTGATTTGCTATTTGCTTTCTGAGCCTGGGCTTACTGGGGCTTGCACACAGATCTGTCTAACAGCTGCACTTTGCCCGAGAAGACATGTTCAGAGCCCTCCGGGCCGATTGTGTACCTCTCGAAGCTTTTCCCGTTAACCTTGGCTCCTCTTCTTCTTTTTCTCAGCTCCAAACGTAAAGTCCACGGACCAGCGCCCAGCTGGTGCAGGCGCCGGCGCCGGCGCTGGTGCCGGTGGAGCTGGCACAGGGAAGACAACTGTACCGGCTCCTTTTTGATTGGGTTGAGGTTTTGCCTGGCGCTGGCACTGCCGGCGGTGGCTCCCAACCTGACACGAGCCATGGAAGAAAGCTGCTCACGAAACTCTTTTTCGAGATGTCTTGGCTGCGGGCTGGATTCCCCCGTCGTGCAGTTGGCATAGAACGTCCGGCCCTGTTCATCCTGAACGTAGCGAGGAGGCCGGAGGGCCCACAGCAAAGTAGCAAAGCAATCAACGCAATGTGCATTGCCTGGTGGGCCGTCCAGCCCTCCGGCAGGAGCACTTGAGGCGCCGGAGGCTCCCAGCTGGTCTCCCCGGTCCTTCTGTGCATTTGAGGTCTTTTTGGAGTCTTGACTAGGTCTTGTCTCGGCTCAGCTGACGGCGTGATGTTGGCATAGTAGGTGCGACCTCAAAGTCAGATTCTGGCTGGACGTCTTCCTTCTCAAGCCATGCTTTGTGCTGCCTTGGTCGTCCTGGTAGGCGCTCCAACCTTCGGGCAACACGTCGGCCATCGCCTGACAACCAACACCCTTAACACCATCCTTTCTCTGCGGACCCATGCCTGGACAGGAAGGCGGCTTCGAGCGACTTCCAAGCTTGAAAGAAGCTGCCGCGAGAAGGACAGGTTTAAGTGCGCAAAGCACAAAAAGTAGCGTGGCCTAATTCCTGCCAAATGAGTGCAGAAGCTGCTCTTGAAGAACACGCTTCATACTCTGAATTGCATATTTGAAGAGAACCTGGACTGCCTTAGCACAGAAGGTCCGATCTCACGCAATTCTGGTGAAGTGAAATTTGCCAGGCGAACTTCTGAGAATGTAAGACTTGCCAGCACTCAAGCTTTGGGTATCAGACTCGGCTGCTTAAAAGTGTTAGGAGGAAGGTTTACTCCTCTCGCTTGACCGATGAGTTGGTGCGACCAATAACTAACTCCGTAATTGGTAGTTCTTGACCAAGGAGTCTACACCATGTGCCGCCTTTGTCAAATCGAGATGCAAGGCACGTGACTCGGAAAACATTGAAATTCATGTCCGACAGAAAGGGATGGTTCCCCGACTCTTGGTGTCACCATGGCTAACTTCAGCATTCTTGTTGTTTTGTCTCAAAACCTGTCTCGTTGTTTTTCAGAATCTCTTTTTGCAGCCGATGCAGCGTGCACGACATCTGGTGCGCAGTTAATTCATGCGCTGGCCTTCTTAAGTCAGCTGACAGCTGCCGCGATCCATTTCTTTGCAGGATGGCGGTGTGTCTGAAGCTCATGAAGTCGTGTGGTGCTTTACGAGGCTACGGCCAGAGGAGCCACAAGCCTCACAACGTGGGCAAGCAGCAAGCAACAAGCAGCAAGCAAGACACTTCATGCCAAAAAGATTGCCTTGTCCCCACCACTTGGACGGCCCGTGTGCATCCTACCAAAATCCACACAGTATCGCTCTCATACCGCAGGTACCGCAGGTTCCTAAGCCATGGAGGCCAGGCCTGCCAGGGCTGATTGCGCTGTCACCATCATGGGAAGGAAGAGGACCAACACCTGCAATCATGCGCTTGCGGCTTCGGTGCCACCTTTCACCCTTTCTGCGCTGAAAGGGCATGTAACCAGCAGCCATGAACGGAGCCGTTTTACAAGCAATTCCTCTGCTATCTTCCTCTGTTTCTTTTGGTTCCTCGTTTGGCCTTAATCCGTTGGCGTGACTCACAACTGGAATATTTTCCTCTCTTTTGTTTGGCAACATTTTCAAAACTTTGCAGCCTTTCCGTAACCTGGACAGCCTGTTGCCTATGACAATATCTTCTTCCAAGCCTTGGGAACATCTGGCGGGGAGTTTCGAACACCTTCTTGCACCCGTCACCATGTTGGTGATTTTACCATGAAAGCACTTCTTCTGAGGTTGACACAGGGGGCTTGTTGATTGTTAACATGTGCTAACCAGAACCTTCGAAGGAGCAAGGTGGTTCAAGCCCAATTTGTCAGATCCAAGCACCTGACACAATTTACAGGACCGCATCCAGAGGACAAATATCCGCACCAGCTTTCGTTTGCAGCAGGCATGCAACACACCATCAATGCTAGACCGCCAAGACACAACATCATTCCAGCCGTTTTCAAGTACACCCCCCTCACCGAAGTGCGGGGAATGCTGAGGTGGTCGCAGCACGTAGATGGCAGGACCGCTATAGGTCCAAGCGAGCGTGGGTTAGGACATGCCAACATCGACACATAACCAAATGTAAGGCTTGGATTTGGGATGACGTGCTTTTCTCTCCCCATTTTTGAAAACCTTTGGTTGTGAGGTCGCGTTCATGGCTCATCAGCGGCTGCATTGAACAAAACGGCCATCCCGCTTGCGAGGCTGTAGTCCGAGCTTGGGTTGAGAGCAGCATTGCTGCATGGCGGTGATGGGGAATTGCTGCGAAATCTGCGCACAAGCATTGGCAAAAAGATGGAGCCGCAAGTACCTTGAAATGCCTTGAAAACTGGCTACGGAAGTCTTCCGGAGGCAGAACGCTGTGTGACTACACGCAAGGCGAGTCAAGCAATCGCGGGAGCCACTATGGCGGCCACGGGGTGGGACAAAGGCCTTGGCCCTTGCGCTCTTTCGTTCTCTTTCCTCCTCTTCTTCCTTTCCTTCCCCCCCTTTCTTGCAATACGTCTCTTCTTTTTCTGCTTCCTTTTAAAAGAGAATGCGTCACCTGAGGTTTTGCAGCCGTTCGTCTCTGCCGTTTTGTCGCCACTTTGGCCGCGCGGGCCTGGCACCTGGCACCGGGCCACGCCTTTGACCGTGTCCTAGAAAAGCGCCGGGTCGCTGGGTGGGGGCACGCGGCCCTGCCACGCACGGCTGAAGGCATGGCCTTAGTTGTACTTGCAACCTTTGCTACGGCCTTAAGATGGGCATTGTTGGGGAGCCCTGCTGGCATGAGAGGATCAAGAACTCTCACCAGGCCAAAAGAAGAGATTCACATTCGAACATAAGGTGACCAAGCTCAAAAAACAGATTCTCCATTATAGAACGAAGCGAGGCATGCAAGGTGGACTGGCACAGTCAGAAATATGCTTTGAAAGGAGAAGGTTCATTCGGCACCCGCTAGGCCAATCCGGTCTAAATTTGATGCAAAACAAAAGCAACCTCCAGCAGGCCAGCAGGCAACGCAACCCACGCCTCACCCCTAGACAAGGAACAACTGAGATTTCGGATCCCCAAGAATGCCTAAAACTCAGCCTGCAGCAAGCCAGGCCTGAATGTTTGAAGTTGGGTAACAAAGCGGAGGAACCATCGAACCAAGCCGTAGGAATGGGATCGTCGCGAATCTGCACAAGGTTCCTGGGAGCCAACCGTGGTCGCCCTGGAAAGGGCCCAGGCCCTCAAACAAGTGACATGCCCTCGAACATTCGGGAAACTGCATCGAGACCTGTCTTCCGTTAAGCCAATCCCATGCTAAGAAGCCAGAATGCGCTTTGCTTTATAAGGGGGCAGCAACAAGACTAAACTGACTAAACTCAAATTGAGATCTTGTCCGTTCACCGCCTCTTCTGACACCCTGTGAAAAAGATCGGAGGGTCAGCTTGGATGGAGATGGAGATCCAAAAGAATGAGGTGAAAGGCTGGCAGGACCCCGCGCTCTCGTCTTTTCAAGGGCTGTGGCTGTGGCTGTGGCAAATTTGATGCCTCTTGAGACTTTCTGCACTTGAAAACCTTCCTTTCTGTGAGTCTGTAGGTCGTGCTTCCGGGCTCATACGTTTTCAGTTTCTTCTGAGTCCTGGGCAGCCGTCATGTTGTCGCCACCAAGACCGTCCGTGAGCCGCAAGTCCGGGGACAAGCATAAGTCCAGCCTCAGACGGGCAAGAAATCACTTCTGTGGTTTTAGTCTTATCCTCTTTTTTCCCTTTGAGAGGAGCAAGCCTCTTTGATGGTTTTTTCCTAAACATCTCTAAAGCTTGCAAGCGCCTAAGCCTTTCCCAAGCGGTTTGTTTGTATCCGTTTGCTTTGCCCCGGGCAAGCGCCCGAGAACCTCCGAGAGCCGCAGCTGCTTCGCGGCCAACCGTGACGCCCAGCCTGGGAGTCACAGAAAACAACAGAACACGAAGAAACACACTTACGTATGCCAATCAGGTCGGCAATCATGCTGATGAAAAAATGTTGACGTCCACGAAAAAACTTTCGCTCTTCAAACAAAAGCGTGTTTGCTGCTTGCTGGAAAACTCAAGCCTGGCTGGAAAACTCCAGCGTTGATTTCAAGACGCTGTGATATGTGATTGCCGGGATTCCCAAACACTGATTGCATCTCGAAGGCTCTCGTGTAGGACTACTACTGCGAAAATCCCATGACCAGGCTTCACGCTTCACATGCGCTGATTTCAATACTGCAAGATCAATATGCAGAATGCTGGTTGCTGGGATTTTTGTTGACTGTAAGCAGCCTTCCCGTCTAGTCTTTCCACACAGGGGGTGGATGTCTAATCTGCCAGATCGGGATGGTCTCCTGCCGGTACGTCAGTTCTGCATCCAGCACTGATATCACAAGCAATGGGTAGGGGTTTTCGTTGGCACCCACGACTACTACCACTACCACTACCACTACCACTACCACTACCACTGCCACTACCACTACCACTGCCACCACTACTACTACTACTACTACTACGAGTACTACTTATACTAAAGCTCCTACCGCCAGCCAACCCCCCTTCCAATCTTATTACGGGGGAATCCATGACCTTTCCCAAATGAACCTTAGTGGGCAGCGATTGAATTAGTTACAGTCCTGTTGCAATGCTATCAGACCATGTACAGATCACGTGAACACAGCTGACATGTAGTTTTTGCTCTCAAGGTTTCAAGGTCTCTGTATTCGCGTGATAGTTAAAAGAGACACCAGTCCGGCTGCTTTGCTTAACTCTGCGTGAGAGGTACTACACGTACGACTCAATCTCAACGTGGTGGTGGAGCTCTCACCAGGGAAACTTCGCCTACGCAGAGGTACCCTGAGTACCCTGCCGTGCAGGGAGCTCGAAAGGAGAGAGCTCCCGTAGTAGCCTTTTAGAAAAGCCATGGCTGATGAATTTTACGCTGACATTCGTGATTCGTGATGAGGACCTCTGTGACGAGGAGTATACCACACAATCAATGCCAACACACGACATCAGCAGATTGTCGCAGTTTTCCCGAGGGATGGCAAAAAACCGCCGTCACTCGATGGAAATACATGATGGTTTGCGTCTGAAGGCGCAATAGACGACTGGTGTGACATCACTGAACTGGACAGTGACAGAGGGAGAAGAGGACCAGCACTCAGAAACGGGCTGGCCACTATTTACAAACGAATCTTCGATCCTGATCAGTTGAAGAACAAAAAGGATGGCGTTGCTTATTTTAAGCGGACTTGGGCCCTTCTTTGTCAAGGGCAGTGTCAATGTCTTCTTATACCGTTTCGAAGGTTCATGAATCTAGGCCGAAGTTCGTCTGATCTTATGAAATGATATCTACATTTCAAATCCAATTGAAAAGGCTGGAAGAAGCATGGGGAGATTCATTGACGCCCATTCTTGATGCAGCGAAAGATGAAGTGAGAGTTTATACACAAGCTTTATCGGTGGAAGAACGGCAGGATGTGACCGCAACCCAAATTCTGACCGCTGTCAGCTGTCAATGAAAGACGACGACAAGCGAATATGTCCAGGTTACCGCTGACGAAGAACTTGACAGGACTTCTCTCTGTGTCGCATGAAGAGTTGACCTTCGACCAGAGAATATCGCTTAGCAGCACAATGGCGCACCGTGGCATAGATTTGATTGGGTTGGACGCCGGTAATTACCTCAGAGACATTTCTATTGAGATGTTTTACAATGCAAAGACAGCAGTAGACAATCCTCACTTCAACAATGCCGGCCATGGAGGACGAAGGAGCTTCATCGTTCTAGATGAAGGAGAGTTAGACGGATCCTTCGGATGTTGGGCGGGCCGAAGATGAGGATGATGGAGCAGAAAGGTCTTTGGTTGTACATGAAGATGATTTTACATTTATGATGAGCAGAATGAATCATGGCTTTCGCGTTGCTTTCAAGGCCGCTGACCTAGAAAAAGGCAAAAGAAAAGGACGCAGATCAAAAGGCCGCGGCAAAGGCCGCGGCAGAGGCCGTGGTGGAAGAAAGTGGCCGTGGTGAGAGATTGTATCACGTCGGAAGAAGAAGGGTCACTATCAGGAAGATGATGGCCAAGAAGACTGGTCTTGGCAAGCTGAAGAATTTTGGTGGTGGGCTGGGCAGCAGATTCATGGCAGTCACGGGGCATTTGAGCAAGTACAGAGTTACAAGTTTAAAGGTCGTGTGTGGTAGGCCGTGGCGGTGTGTATTTTCAGTGTTTTTTTCGCGTTCTTTAAGGTTTTTGTCTAATTTTGGAATGTTCTGTCATCAAAGCTTTATTTATGCTGCAGTTCACCCTTGTCCTAGTTAGGTTAACAAATATTCTCCTTAGCAGAACTAATGTGACATAATGGAACTTCGATAAATGCTGCTAAGCATATCGAGTGAGTCCTAGCCAATATGGCCAGTTCGACTTGCATAGGTTGCCATATCCATATTGGTGGTGGGTATGTGTAAATAAACACGCCCAGATCGGCATAGTGTTGCGGAAGCCCCTTTGCATAGCCAAATCCAATAATTTGTAGAAACCCTACCTGCAATAGCAACATTTTCTTGGGGGCGCATCCATATCCTTCATAGGCGTTCTCTCGCGGAATATACCATTTATGGCAAAGATATTCCTATATTTGATGCTTTGAAGACGCCAGGTAACCAAGTCCAATAAATATGACAGGTCTTGGATGCAATGCCAAACATTGAACTGAGTCCATCCCCACCCAGCCCACTTTTTGTTCGAGGGGAAGGTCATGCTGCATGCATATTGATTGCCATGAAAATGTGATCCGCAGCTCTCCAAATTCTAGCCGTAGTAGTTATATCCACTTTCGTGGGATAGGCCTCTTCTAGAATGGAAACAAAAACAAGGGAATTCAAGTCAGGGAAGGGAGGGTGCTGCTAGGGGATTGATGCATCCTGTGAATCCACTTCCCGGAGCCCCGATTACACTTGCATGTTGTAATACCAGGACCAAGAGCATAGAGAATATGGATATCGGAACCTCGAATTAAGAGCTAGACTGAGCCTAGTGGAGGGGCCGGACTCGACATACTTCATGATGTTAATCAAGATACCTACATATATATATACATATGTAATCATATGTATAATTGATACCCCCCCATCCTCTCCCCCGGACAATCTACTTTGACAGATGTTGGGCGCAGTTGACCGCGTTATACTCATATGATATCTTACCTAAAGGAGCGGAAAACACCGCAATTTACTGTGCGTTTTGGTGGTTTTCACATTTTGGCCCATGAAGCTGCATGCTTCATTCACACAATATGCATTATATGACTCATACCAATATATTGGTGCATCTCGGCATTATATCCTAACACATGTTCTATTTTTATTTGCTGTATTAAGCGCATTAGGAGAGACCTCACCCCAATATATCTATATTTGGTAAGGTTTCTCTTAGTATAGCAAGAGGAACTGATATACCGCATTTGGTGCTGGACCCAAGTAGTCTAGCTACATGGCACGCAAGCGGCTGCACATGTCGGAACGATGTTGAAGTAATGATTATGCCACGCTACCCGGCTGCTACTTGTCATGTTCCATAATATATCTGGCCCGAATTCTGGTACCATCTCTGTTAACCCTTTTTTCAAATGACGAGAATTCTGTAATGGCCTGGCTTTGCTATTCACTTATAACGTCTAGAAATGCCTACGCCTATTCTGCAGATACGTTTTGAAGTAGCGAATCTAACTTCGGGAAGAGTGGGAATCAATGAAGAGAGTAATGTACAAGGAAGCCGGTGAATGGTATTACTCACTGTGACAGTGACAACTACGCATATCTACATTATTTCTTGCTGATAGTAAAAGGTACATGAGGAAGAAGGAAAGGAAGGCAGAAAAGAGCCTGGGTCAGGATCAAAGGGAGGGTTGGAGGCCATCTAGGGAGATCTCTCCAGAACTTCTAAGTTTTTGGGACTATGGGGAAGCTCTAGGATGGCTTTCGGTCAGCTATGAAAGTCACCAGACCAAACTTTGGGGAAGGTGTGCTCGATTTTTTTTTCGGGCCCTCCCCCCTTCCCCTTAGCAGAAGTCTTGGTTAATCTCACAGCTTTCCCAAGGCCATTCTAGAGCTTCTCCACCATCCCCCAAGACTCTAGAGAGATCTTCCTAGGTGATGTTACAAAAAAGGAAAAATATGTGAGATTTTCTGCTGAAAATACACACCGCCACGGTGTACAGTTCTGTAAAGGTAAAGGCTTACCTAGGGTTAGAAAGGTAAGGATGGTAAAGACAAGAAAAGCAGTGCAAACGTAGCTTCGTAAGAGTCTGAGGCTCAAATTGCAATAGATGTTCCCGCCTTCTGCATCTTTAATTGCTATAAACCATGACCCATGTTGGGAAACCTGAACTTGACACAGGTGCAGCCTTTGGAGGCCCGGTCCACACTGGGAAACCAGCAGGTGGACCTAATGATGCTGAGAACCATGCAGATGGTGATGGTGATGTAGAAATGGACCCTTCAAAAATCAGGAGGCCCATCCCACGATGAGGAGCTTGACCTTGAACTTGTCTTCTTTCACATAGCGGTGGACTCAGACTCAGGGGCAGATATTTTCTCTTTATAATAGATGACATAGCTAGTGACGACTCAGAGTATGGGTCCTACTTCTTTGCCAACATAGACATGCCTCGGGTTGAAAGGTTGGTTCCTACAGAGAAGCAGAGACGCACAAGGGTTTAGTTTACCATGGGTGGTTAGAAGCTAATGAGTGGCATTCTGCGTGTACTGGGCCCCCTAATACGCGATGCGTCCTCCAAGAAGAATGGAAGCAATTGGGTGTCACTCATGGGCTTCCTGAGCTCCATCGTAGGCCCAAACGATACTCACCCGTGTCGTGTTCGAACTGGCCTTCCTGCAAGACAAAGAGGGTCGACTTATCCTCT